GTTGGTACCGATCTCTATTTGATCGGGGCTCTCTGTCAATGTCTCTTTGAATTCTGCCTTCTGATCTATTTGGGTAAACGGAACCGGAAGGGGCTCCTAACTGATCATCCTCGACCCTGATCTTTAACTGCATCGATTATGTACACCCGCCCAGGTCACACCTGGATATTCAATCAAATTCTACTTTAGCTGTCGTGATGCTATCGAACTTCACTCATTCAAACCTTGAGTGAAGGATTGGACAGCCCAATCATCGGTCATCGGGGGTAGGTCCATGTGTTCCATCTAGAACCCAGATACGAATTCCCTTAGCATTTCATTGTCCTTTTGTCTCACTTTGAAGAGGTTCGACTTCGTAGTCGCGACCTTAATTGCTCTAGTGTGTGCCTTTACGAACGAATCAGCAAGCATGGCGAAGTAATCAATGGAATTGGGCGGCAAATTGCGGTACCATATCATTGCCGTCTTCGATAAAGTTTCTCCACACTTTTTCAACAGAACAGATTCAATTTCATCATCTTCTAAGTTATTTCCTTTTTGCGGATGTATAAGAAGTTACATGCTCATTAGGATCAGTGGTTCCATTATACTTGGGAATTTCTGGCATGTAGAACTTCTTTGGAATGGGCTTCATAGCAGCACTTGGTGGGAAAGGCTTCTGTACGAACTTCTTCGAATATAAACCCTTTAGCCTCGATTTTCTTTTCTCCTGATTCGGTCCGTTTAGTGAGCTCCTCGAGCATCTTCATGATGGTTGGGTCAGTTCCCGATCCATTATCTTTCGATTTCTTCGGTATAGGTTTGACCCTGTGAATAACTTCCTGTGATGTATCGAGCTCAATTCTGCTTAGTGCTCGATCTGATTTTGGAGCTGCGATATCGTAGCTTGCTGAGTCTGCAACATTTCAAATATCATTCGAAGGCTAATCCCGCCTTCTTCACCGCTCTGTGCGTTCTGGTCGGCTGCCCGGGCGTCTCTGCGAATGCTATTTTCAGGGTCGGCGCCTAAATTTCCATGAATGGAAACACGAGAACTGACCTTGACTGGATCTAAGGCCGGTGGTCCATCGGGATTGACTGGAGGTACTCCGTTTCCCGGGGCGACTATGTTCTCATTCTCGACATGAAGACCAAGGCCGGTGTCTGTGTGAGTGGGCGCTGCTTGAGAATTTGACATGTATATTCCTGCAATGAAAGACAATTACGAGAACAAGCGTAAAAGCAGTGTGTTATGAGGATTAATACTAGGCAATCACTATTATCCTTAGCCCCACGGTGGGCGCCAAACTGTTTACCCTAAAGATTGGATAACAATTACACTAATATTGTGGTTCTACGGGATACGTGATTTCACCTAATACCAATTGATAAATACAAAGAGTAATAACAGAAATTAACAATTATATAAGGCAAACCAGTGTTTGAATAGAATTCAGCCCTCGAGCTTGAATACCCTCGAGCTAGTTGTGCAAGAACAGTTAAAATGCAACAAGCTGATAAACAAGAGAATGTAAATTAAAGAGAGAGTATTGTATTGCTTTGATCTGTGTGAATGTAAGGTGTTTACAAAATGATTAGAACCCTCTTTATATAATATAGGAATCCAATCTATGGTACAATTCTAATTACGGAAGTAAATCTCATGATTAGCCGAAACAATCGCCCTTGATTTGATCTGTTCCAGGATTTTCGCCGTGATCTCCGACCGGTTACGGATATCTCGCTTTTCCGTTATTACGCTTTGCTCGAAGTCTGTCGTATTTGGTCTGGATTGCTGCTGGCCCCAATCTCGGTGAGCGCCTCGGTTTTCGAACTCGATACCTTGTCTTCGTGCTTTGGTCCGATCCATTACGAGGCTGACCCTCAATGCAATTCCCTAACCTCGTTCAAATAGTAAAATTGGGTAGGCTCGATTTTAACCGTCTACAAGTATCTCCTTCATCAGTGTTTCTGAAATGTAGTATACGTACTATTTAAAAGGGTCAAGGTATGGTGTTTTCGGCAGATTTGCTATTTTTGGGATAGTTCACTCCCTCAGTTAAGTGTGATTAAGAGTTACATTCAACCGAACTTAATTATTACTCAAATTATCAAAAAAAAAAAAAAGATAGTACCAAGGTCTTATAATTATTTTAAATAGAAAAATGAACTTAAATATTTATCATAAGATACTTTTATTATTTTTTATGTTATTTAATTAAAATATAAAACATAAAGTAAACATACATAATAATTTATATAGGTATACCAAAGCATATAATATTATCTAGTATAATTACTTAACATCATTCCGTATGAATTAGAAGTCTTATTCCACAAATTACAAATATATTAATAGTTCACCGTGAAATAATAAGCAAAGTCACTCACACATGATAATATTTTTCAATAATTTCATCTCTAATTCTATCACACAACGCCTCCATATTAGTAGAAGATTTGTGTTGCATTTCTAAAGGAATACCAGCAGGTCCATCTCCTTCCTCAATCTCTGCAGTAATGTCTTCATTAGCATAATAGTTGAATTCCTTATCGATAGAAGAATGTCGTCGAATGCAATTATGTATAGCCATGGTAGTTATATCAAGATGATTTTGAGTGTTAAACTTGAAAGATGGCATTGAGAGTAAAATCGAAATAATTTTAAATATATAAAAATTATTATTTTGTAAAGAATAATAGTTAAGTATGTTTAAATTGAAATTTAAAAAGATTAACTAATTATCAACAACACATAATTAAAAAAATTAAATTTAAAAAGAAACTAATTATTACCTAACCTAACTAAATTTCTCATAAATTGCCAAGTGACATATTGTGAGACTGTCATTTGGCTTAATGTGAAGGCTTTTTCTTTTTTTTTTTAATAATACATAAATTATGGGATGCAATTATAGATTTATTACCTATTTGTAGATAATTTCACAAATTAGATTTGACAAATGTCTTAAGGATTCCGGAATTATAGCATATAACAGAAGAAATGATAAATGATTATTTGTAGGAAGAGAATTGATAATGCAAAGAATGATGTATATAATTTGCTTTAGTGTGAAAGAGGAAGAAGACAATTTGGAAAGTTACAAGACATTATACAAAGAAAAAATCAAAACAAGAAAAGTCAAAAAAGAATTTGAAAAGTTACACTCATATATATAGGAGGGTATGAAGGTCGAGGATTAGGGTTGCGGGTTGATAGGCAGTCTAGAGTTTCGTCTAGGCATCCCAGTAGTATTAGTCCTAGTCTTGTATTTTTTATGCCTAGCCCCTTGCTATTTCATATTGTGTCATTATTTCCAACAAGATTGAATCTATTTTTATAGTGTCGTGTTCTTAGATATCTGTTGTTGCACGTATCTTCATTTGTTCTCATGTCTACTTACCTGGTTGCTGCTACTATTTGTTTATCGCTTCATTTTCACTTCTTTTGAGCCGAGGGTCTTTCGGAAACAACCTCTCTACCTTCATTAGGTGAGGGTAAGGTCTTCGTACACTTTACCCTCCCCAAACCCTACTTATGGGATTTCACTGAGCTTGTTGTTATTGTTGTTGTTGGTAGAAACTAGAAACAAAAAAGGAAAGAAAAAACTTAAATAGGTAAGGATAATTTGGAAAATATAAATTATGGTGAGAATAGTTTTGTCTTGAAGAAATTAATTTTCTGCTTTTGCTTCTGCTTCTTGGAAGAAGCTAAAATTTTCTGCTTCTTCCCAAAAACAGAAAAACTGCTTCTGCTGCCGGCAAGAAGTACTTCTCCGTTTTTGGCCAAACAACTTAAATTTTTTTAAAAGTACTATTTTGGAGAAAAAAAATACTTGTAACCTCCCGGAAGTTTGGCCATACAGGCTCTAATATAGGACAAAAGGGGGCACTAATTAAGAACAGTCTAATGTTGACTTATTACCATGATGATCACCTAAACACTGAAACCAAACCTAGCTAAAAACTTTTTCTCAAGTTTCGTAAATCAAAAGGTTAGCTGAATTATACAAGTAAGCTCTGTTACATCAACAAGTTAAGCATTAGAGTGTGCATACACTCAATTCAATTGAAAATAAAATTAAATGGGATAAAATAAAATGGCTGAAAGATTAGGATTTTAAGGAAATTAAAGTGATAGTTTTTGACTAAAGAACAATTTCAAACCATGCAAGCAAATGACGCAGTGAAAGGTCTTTCTATTCGTTGCATGGTTGCGTCTTTTTTGACTTGCAAATCACCTGGTCCCATTTTCACATCACCTGATCATTGTTTAATCCATTATTTTAATTATTTATTAAAAACTCGAGTTTTGTGGACTATCTATGGAGGTAATTGGCCAACCTAACTGGTTTGGCCTACGGCATTATTTACTTGTACAAATGTATGGTACGCACAAAGGGTACATGTGAAAATATCCATAAGGAATGAACAATCATTAATTTTCGGCTTACATTATATAAAAATACTCTAACCATGTAGATTGTTTCAGTTTTCATTTGTGAATTTGCTTAGGTTAACGAGCTTCTAAAAACTTATTCCTTCAGTTTTCATTTGAGAAAGAGGGACATATATATATAGTTCAATTCTTAAAACTATTCTTTATTTAGAAAATTTCCTTTAAAGATGCATTAACGTCATATATAAATTAATTAAAGTCGTGTGAAGAAATGAAAAACAAGAAATCTAAAGTAGCATTTAGGTATAGGTTAGTGCATGGAGCATAATCTACGGAGTAGATAATACAAAGAACAATCTATTGTCGGCAGTTTCCTCTAAACCTTGTCTAGAATTTTGACGAAGCAAATATCTAACTTAGATTAATAATGCTAAAAATAAATAATTTAGAGATTGTACCTTGTCTACTTATTATAGTCCCGCATTAGTTAATGAATACAATTAATTAACAAAAGAAAATAACAGTCAAATCAAATACTGTTAATTAAATTGTATGAAGGACAAGAAACAAGCTAGACTTAGAATTGTATAAATACTACAAACATAGCTTCGGTAGCATCAAGAAGAAGAAACCAAACAACAATATTCTTGGACAAAAATGGGAAGGTCTCCTTGTTGTGATGAAAATGGCCTTAAAAAAGGACCATGGACTCCTGAAGAAGATCAGAAACTTATTGATTATATTGACAAACATGGCCATGGCAGTTGGAGAGCTCTTCCTAAGCTTGCAGGTTCCTACTTATCATTCCAAAAATATCTTTAACATTCTTGCATGGTTTATATCATAGATTGCTAATTAATTAGTAGTAATTTTTATTGTTATCATATTCTGTAGGCCTTAATAGATGTGGCAAGAGCTGCAGATTAAGATGGACTAATTATTTGAGGCCTGATATCAAGAGAGGCAAATTCTCTGAAGAAGAAGAACAAACAATTCTTCATCTCCATTCCATCTTAGGAAACAAGTAATAATTATTTCACTAATTCATCACCTCTACTTTCGTTTTTCATGCAGGATTTTTTGTTGTCATTTTTTACGTCCATTAGTCATGTCAGAAATGTATATGTCAGTAGAATATATAAAGAACTTAGTAGTTTTTCATTTTTATTTTTAACAGTATTTCATATAATATTGATTGAATAAGCTTAAATGGAGCTGCATGAACAGTACTAAGAACTTATATAGTCGATTTCAACTTATTTGAGATTGAGGCATATTTTTGTTGTTCTTATTACCAGCATGGGCGGAGCCAGATTGGGGGAAGGAGGTTCATCAACCTCCTTCATTGAAAAATTATATATATATATATATATATAGGTCAAAAATATTTTTTATTTATATGTAGTAGATGTTGAATGTCCTTGACTTTTTCATATATTTACGTCTTTATATATTGAACCCTTTACTGAAATTCCTGACTTCACCATTAAATTTACCACCGTATTTTATTAAATATTCCATGTTTTTCTTATCTGTAAAATTTCATTAATGATTTTGTAATATTATTGTTGTAGATGGTCTGCGATCGCGACACACCTACCAGGAAGAACAGATAATGAGATCAAGAATTTCTGGAACACACATTTAAAGAAGAAGTTGATTCAAATGGGATATGATCCAATGACTCACAGGCCAAGAAGTGATTTATTTGCAAGCTTACCTAATATAATAGCTTTGGCAAACTTACTTCAGCATCATCCACTAGAAGATCATGCTATAAGAGTACAAGCAGAAGCTGCCCAATTAGCTAAGCTTCAATACTTACAATTTCTATTCCAATCTTCATCAGCTTCAAATAATTACCCAATATCTACAAGCTCAAACACTCAATATAATCTTGGAGATTTTGGCACATTTAATTTGTCAAATTCTATTAAGGAAAGTACTACCCCTTCTTTAAACTTATCCCATCTTGAAAATCAAACACTTTTCTCCAATGAAAACTCTGACTCTCAACTGCTCCAAAATCAAGATATTTCTTTAACTTTTCCAGACTCACAACAAGTCCCTTTCAATTTCCAAACACATTTGAATAATAATAATAATATTAACACAAGTGATATTAATGGCCACAATTTTAATTATGATCAAGGAAATGATTCAACAAGTACCCCATTGAATAATATTAATCTTCCTTCTCCAGCTTCTTCAACTCGTTTGCCACCTTTGACAGAAATTTCTATTAGCAATAATAATCAAGGAGATTCCAGCAGTACTTCCACCAATGCAGCTGAAGGAATTACTTCTTCATATAATTGGCCTGAACTTTTTCTCGAGGAACATTTCATGCATGAGATTTCTTGATATAGTAGTCGGGATTGGAACTAAGTTGAAGTTTTGTGTATTAGTATTATTGATTATTGAGCCACATATATGGACAGTAAGGATTTATATAGCCAATTTCAAATTATTTGAAATTGAGACGTAGTTGTTACTATATATGTTGTAATATGATTGATTGTTGAGAGGGGCTCCAACATGTGTACACACGTTAACATTGCTAATGTATACCTGCAAATGTTGTTTGTGGGGTGGGGGGTGGGGGGGGGGGAATGTGTACTGGAAATAGAGGTTATCACCTTACAGTTTTTTTTTTCCTGATCCGTGTTGTTGTATACTTTGCTATAATGTAAATATTCCTTTTTCATATTTTACTTTTTTCCCGTATAATATTTTTCTAAATCTTGGATTGTCTTAGGCTTAGAGAAAGGTTTAGGTATGGATTTTTCTCTTTATTTGCCTCATTCAACTTTTTTTTTTGATTGGGTAGAAGTTGCAGCGAGGTGGCAATATATATGACTATCCATCAATATGCTTTGATTAAATCCAAGGATAGTTGAAACGAATAACCTTTGTTGATGGTATATATATATATATATATATTGCCTTAGAAAAAAAACTAAAGAAAATGATAGAGGGTATAATTCGAGAAGGAAAATCAACGCTTTAATTAATTTGCATGGAGCAGTTAGCACATTATCACTAGGGGGTGTCAATGAATATTTAAAAACTGACTAAACCGTACCGTACTAAATTGAATTTTAGGTTTTTTTAATTTTTATATAAATCTATAACCGTACCGATATTTTATTTTATGAAAATAAACCGAAAAAATATCAAACCGTACTGAATAAATTTATAATGTGAACAATATATATATATATATATATATATATATATATATATATATATATTAAAATAATAAAGCATTAAATTTTTTCTTGGGCCTTGGAGTTATGAAACAGTTACAAGCCAACAAGTAGTTAAACTTAAAATCCTAATTCCCAAACCTATTATGCTACTCCTATTGAAACTAAATTATTTCCAGCATGTTCACTACCAAGACACAAGGTATTATAGCGATTATGAGTAGCAAACTACAATGTATTGAATATATTTCCTGTCGTATGATTTTGATTTATCTTTTTGAATATTTAATCTTCTATAGATTTTCTTCTTGTATCCCAGCTTATTAGTTAATATTTTTCCACTCCTGTGATTTATATTATTTTTGTATTTGCTAATTAGTTTCTTGTACGCTGATGTAGAATGGTTTATGAATCTATACTCTAGTCATCTTTCATATTTTCTTAATTCATTACATTTTAAACTGTAAAAATGTCTAGATCTTCCGAATTATTTGAACAGATTGATCACCTCATTCTATTTGTTTTAGCAACTTATCCTGAGGTCTTCTCGCCAAGATCAGCTCCCGGCACAACATGGGGAGCGAATCTGGAAAAATGATACTTATAGCCGCTCTCAAAATAATAACTGAAAAAATGAATATTATTTGTATATATGCATTATTTCTGTATGTTATAAACCAAAAATTTACATATTTATACTTTTACGACTATCGAATATAAATAATTTCAGTCGCGGACTAAAGATGATATATGCCTTGTTCTTTCACAAAAGTTTCTTTAGATATGAAGCACCACTAGAAGTAAAATATGAAAATTATAGAAATAGCGAACGGTTTTGTAACACGGAAGCAAGAAAATTAGCTATTCCTTTCTAAATGTTTAACAATTATGCCTATAGTGGTTGCATCCTATTCCTATCGATCGATATTCTTCCACGTAAGTAATTAGTAGTAATATATAGTCGTCGCATCCTTCCAATAATTCTTGAGTTTATATTTTATATACTCATGATGTAAAAAGATTTACCCAATCATGTCACTTATAGTAATTACATATACAGTACATCTTTATTTTTTACAGGTACATTTCTATGATATATAATCATTAATTGATAACTTGATAAAATTTTTATGTATGTATACATATACACACACTAATTATGTAAAAGATTTTGATACTTTCAACATATAACCTTAAAGTTTTCTTCCATAGAAAGCCCTCAAACTATGGGAAAAAATATTAAAAGGGTGGTTTGCACGGAATTGCTCTATTTAGTGTACGTACCACATAGGATTTAATGCATAACTTCTTTGCTGACTTCTCAACAGAAGATATTGATGGCCTAATGATTACATTAATTAGATGATTGGAAACACAATTAATTAGTAACATACGAGCAAAACATCTCTTTCTTGATGTTTCCACTTATGGCCACTATAATTTCTGGATGGTTATAACCAACTGCATATTCCATGACCATTGATGAAGGCAACCTACACAATATCCATCACAATCATAGGGGCTACTTCATTTAATTATTTACTTTTTAAAAAAGAAAAAAAAAAGAGTTTACATGACATAAGAAACTTTGAAAAAAATCTAACAAATGGGTAGGATTAGGTGATTTGAAATCTTTCTTCACCATCCAACTATGGGGAAGAAGGAAAAAAAACCTAACGCTATCTAAAATTTTCTCACCTTTGCTTTGACAACCTTGACTCTACTTCATTGACATTAATCAAATTAAAGTTACTAAACATCTTAATCTTGAATTAAACCACACACTAAATAAATCAAGAAAAAGTACAGAGACCATGAGGATATCGACAAGTGTGTGAAGAAAGTCTTATTAGTAAATTGAGACTTTGTTTCCTCTTGGGTTTGTGTGAATTTAAAGTCTTTGGCAGTCAATTTCTTCATAGAAAAGAAATACCATTGCTAACTACTTGAAAGGAGATTTAGCTGCCCGTTACACATACAATCTACTAATTTTAATATTGGGTACTGTACTACGGTCGTTAATTAATTACTAGTTTATGGGATCAAATTATGTATCTTTGTCTAGCCAAGATCAAGAAACTATCACTTTCATCAGATCGGATTTTTATCTAGAAGTACTTATTATAATACAAAAGGCAAACATAAAACATTGAAAGAGAAATTCAAAGTGATTGCGAGTGTATTGGTGGAAAAAAGGCATGGCACGTGGACCATTAACAAAGTGATATGTGGCATTCAATTAAGTTAAATAATTTAAAAAGGCACGAGAGAAACACCCCCGGATTTCTTTGGGAAAAGAACCGGCTCTGACAGCTGGGAAAGAAGAAATAGGAGCAAAATGTAAAAAGACCATTAAAGAAGGAAGATGCACGAATCTTGCATAAATAAGGAAGGAAAATCGACATTAATCGCGGTTGTAGGAAATCCTCTGTCATGAATGCTTCCATTACAATTGTATATGGTAACGGGTAATCAAGGCAATTAATGTCATTAACAAGCCCGAATTAAGTATGAAAACCGTTATAATTGTATACTCATATATAAGAACTTAGCCTTCATTTGTAATGGCATCTGATTATTATTGAAATATAGGTAATTATTCTTTACTTTATTCATAAGGTTCTTTACACCTACGGGATCTCCTCGGCAATCCCCTGAAAGATCTGCTTCGTGCACTGATGGTCAGCATGGAGGCGATCAAACCGTTGGGCACGGTGCTCTGAGGCAATTGATTTCAGAACACATGAACAACGCACTGCAGGCTTTTGTCAGAGGATTACTCAATGCAGCGCCAACTCCTCCACCAATTCATACAACAACCTTGGAGAACCCGCGTTCGGGGCTTGATAACACTGGAAGTGGAGAAATTCCCAATGAATCTCGCGATGGAGGGTCTGGTAGACCAAATAATTCTAGTTTACAAAGTTTAGTGCTAACTTAGCAGAAACAGCTGAAGGAGCAAAACTAGCATATAGAGCAAACACTTAGCGTACCTCATGTGATCAAAGGTGTGGATATTGACAAGTATTCACAACAACCTTGGAAGCCAAGTGCAGCACCTTTGCCAATTCTCAAAAAGTTTAAAATGCTTGATATTCCCAAATATGATAGGACGTCTGACCCCCGGTATTACGTAACCGCATCCACTACCGGCATGAAAGGAAATGATTTAACCAAGCAGGATATTGAATCAGTTTCGGTTAAAAAGTTTGGCGTAACCCTCACAAAAGGAGTGCTAACATGGTATTCTCTCTTACCTAAAAAATTCCATTGATTCTTTTGCTGAGCTTGCAAATTCATTTATAAAAGTACATTCGGGGGCTCAAAAAGTTGAAAAGAGGATGGAAGACACATTCAAAGTTAAACAAGGGAGTACAAAAATTCTCAGGGAATTCGTAGATAGATTCCAATGAGAGAGGTTGATGTTGTTGCGAGTACCCGATAACTGGGAGGCTACGGCATTCGCGAGCAACTTGAACGAAAAAAGTTCAGAAGCCACGAGGAGTTTCAAAGAAAGTTTCCGAGAATTTCCTGCAACAACTTGGAACGATGTATATAATCGATACATCACGAAGCTGCGGATAGAAAAAGATACTGTTGCATAGCCAAGAGTTGACGAAAGATCAGGTTAGAGACACTTAGAATTAAAGAAAAGGTCAGGGAAAAATAGGTACGAGCTATACATGGGACCCGCGGGGCGAGACTCTTGATCTAGATAAGAGTTTACATGATTTGATTCAAGATCAAGGCAAAAAGACGCGAGTTCTTCATCCAGGTTCAAAAAGGAGCGGGATGCCCGAAGCAATGATTCCGGTACTCAAGCAAGAATAGCGGATTATAGATTTAACATTAGCACCTCTGAATTGGTGGTTTTTCTAAGAGGGATGGGAGATAAGGTGTGATGGCCGAAAGAAATGAGGTCAGATACAAATATAAGGAACCCAGATTTCTGGTGTGAGTTTCATAATGATCATGGCCATAGAACAACCGATTACAGGCTTCTGCAGGGAGATATCGGCCATTTACTGAAGCAAGGCTATCTTACTGATCTATTCATGAGAAATGGAGACAATCATACATGAAGAGCAGACAAGAACCCCCAATCCTCCATCACCGAAGAGAACTGTCAACGTCATAATCAGAGGAGATGAGGTCAATGGAGTAACATACACAGCCGCAAAAAAGACATCAAAAGTTAATGTAACTCATGGAAAGCGAGTTCGCCAAATCTTGGATGGTGACAGTATAACATTTGACGATGAAGACGCGGACGTCTTGATAATTTCTCACAACGATGCACTGGTAATATCTTTACTTGTACATGATGCTAATGTAAAACGAGTTTTGATTGACCCAGGTAGCTCAGTGAAC